ATACAAACGCGCGATTATGATTTATGAATATCATTGATCATATTGAACCTATTTCTGACCATAATAGGTGTATTTCAAGTTTCGCTTCAGTATCCCTTTAAAGGGCAACTCCGCTTAATTCCGAAAAATTTAGGCTTCCATGTGACTCACATTCACAAAGTACTACAAAACAACTCTACGTCTTCGGATTTGCGAAATGTGGAATATTATTTGTGTAATCCTAATTTAAACATCAGCAGATACCGAAAATGAAACTTCTTTTGCGTCAGGCAACATTGGTCTCGGGTCGTCAGAGTCATGGCACGTCACGTCGAACCACGTGGTCTTGTGACGTTCGGGACGGAGCGAGAAACAGGACACGCGACGCAAGCAGGTCTTTTTTTTTTTTCTTTTTTTTTTTATTGGACGCGGGCAGGTCGCTTCGCATGGCATGGACGGTGATGGCCCGGGGGAGAGAGGGAAGGGGAGAAGACGAAAGAGGAGAAGGGGAGCGGAGAAACAGACCGATAAGCGCGCAGGGCAGCGCAAACTAGCGCATCCGCGTTACGGTGATCACGTGGACGCCCGGTCAGCCAACACCGGGAGGAGAAACTCATGACGTCATCGTTCAATTTTACTCTGAGAAGTAAAAACAAGCAAAACGTGAGAATGACGTACACATGCCTCTGACGTAGTGGTTCAACGTTGGCCGCTCCAACTCCGTGGCATTGACAGCGCTGATGATTGCGCCTCGCGCCGCACGCTAGAGTTGGCAGATTTCGGCGACTTGGCTCGCTTGAAGGTTTGCTGGCAAGTTTATTAAATATATAAACGGAACGGGCCTTTTCCGAAAAAGTTGGGCGCCATCTATCGGCAAGCAGAAGAGACGTTTTTGATGGCCGGCCTTGCTTCCGGTTCTGCCCGCTCCAAGCTATGTTGGCTGTCTGAACGCGGTCGCTAAATGCGCTCACTGGTCAGCTTTTGTTTTTCGCCTATCCAACACAATCGACGAGCAGATTGGTTTTCAATTAATGCGTTAACTACGGACGACTTCGTCCGTTTGTACATTTTTTTCCCGAATGAGTGGACGACTGACTTCGCCGTGGCGCCCGTTGTGACTGACGACAAAGTTGAAGCTCTCTTCGACCTATAAGAAAGTACAAACGGTTACATTAAACTAGGATTCATGTCATATCAATACCGGCAGTAAATTCAGAAAATATTCGAGCCCAAGTTACAGTAAAAGAAAGCCTTTTTTTTGCAAGGTATTTTTTAATTTACTCGAAAATTTAATTGGCACGATGCAATCTCATAAATAAGAAAACTTAGTCTAAAACCGTCCCAAAAACTCGGCGGCTGAACGTACCAATGTAATTCTGATCAAAGGTGTATTTTAGTGGTGGATTTCACCTTGTAAAATTTCAACGCGTAGTTTCATTCCTATTAAAAAAATAATCCAACAAACTTGGCCGGGTCAACTAAATGTCGTTTGCGAGCGCCGCTGACCCTGGCGAGTTTGTTGGTCCTGTTTTTTTATTGGAAGGAAGAAACACTTTGAAATTTAACAAGGGCAAATTCACCACTAAAATACATGCTTAATAAATATCTAAGATTAATACGTGCAGCCACCGATTTCTGAGCGAGCATCGTCATTGATGTCACCCCACTTCAGGCTACAGCTGTGTGTGGCTGTAGGTCCTAAAGAAAAAACACAAAATCGGCCACAGATGTTTTTTTTTCTTTATTTTTAGTTTCGCGCTTGTAGACAATGTTGCAAAATTAATTTTTGTTTACTCTGTACATACACCAGAACAACAGATCAAGACGATTTTTTCTTTTTCCTAATTTAACCGCAATACCAGCAGATGCGTCGTGGTAGTCATAGATCTGCTCCCATTTTACTTTCTGTGTGTGCACTTAGCAACAAACTGTGCAGCATAATTTAAGAAAACCCTGAGACTGGGGAAACACGGAGGACAAACACGACGAAATTTGAGATTTCGTCGTGTTCGTCCTTCTTGTTTCCCCAGTCTCAGGGTTTTTTTAAATCATGAACGTAAACTAGCTCGCCTGCGCCTTATCACTCATTTCAGTAATGTGCAGCATAGCCGCTTTACCTTAATGCTTTATAAATATTTGAAAACTGTGGGTTATTCCAATGTTTACAACAACCAAAAAGCAGGCAGGCAGTTTGCGTAGCAACGCGAGACCGTCACATTGGTAAACAAAAAAGTGTGCCAGTGGAACGCTCTATCCCAGAAACGCCAACTCCGAGGCGCTCGCTCTGTGTGGCACATAAGCGATACGACAGCATACCTAACCAATCTGCTGACTTGTATTTACAGAGAATTAAAAATCAAGGGACAAAAACAGAAACCTTCCTTGAAGTGGCAACTGCAAACACGGGAGTGCTTTGAAGGCTGCCTTTACGAGCCGTCCTCATTGTTTCGCTGGATCGCCCGAATCCAGAGCAGCCGCTTCGTCGAGTGCAGGCTAGTGGAAGGAAACCTGAAGAAACATAAACTGCGACAACGCTTGCTGTTGTTGCTGCAGCCAACAACGAAGCAGCGCTAGGGCCTGTTGGAGAACTTCGAAACGCGCGACCACTGCGGCCTCCAGCAGTCCCGAGCCGGACGCACCACGCCACCAAAAATGGCGGACTCTTGTCTGCTGCTGCCGCGCATGCGCCGTGGAAACCCCGGAAAAGGCCCATTAGATCGTAATATTTGACATGGGGTCTTCCTATATGATACTGAAGAGGGCTACATAGTTTTCTAAATATCAAAAATGAAGCGGAGTTGCCCTTTAAGAGCCAGGCAGCCAGAGAAGTATTGGACGCGGCCGGCCTTACTAATTGCGAATTCGGTTGGTTCTTTCTGCGCACTTTCGAGCGCTCTTTCTAGAGCGCGCGAGATCGAGTGGTGGAAAGAGTGTGATGACCTGATCGGCTGGCTCTTTCCGAGGGCGCCCCTCCCTCTCAAATCGCTCCCTGGAACTCCGTCTCTAGTGGTCGGAGTGCGGAGCGGCGCAGGCGTCAAGTGGTACTTAGAGTTCCTGTATAGCTACCTACGGTAGCAGAGTTGCGCATTCAGCCTCGGCGCGTGGCCGTAGCGCCGGCTTTCCCGCACGAGCTGGATGCTTTACTCCTCACGTGACTAAATTTGGCGAATAGCGGCGCCGCGCGCGCCGCCGCGCATGGAAAACAGGAGAGGAGGAAAAGGAGGCGGAAAGCAGGGAAACATACGCCGGGGCAAGAGAAACGTCGGCGGAGCGACCGTAAAGGTGGCTTTCTTGCACGCCACCGGATGCTTTGCTCCTCACGTGATGGATCTCGGCGAATAGTGGCAAGGCGGCGCGGGGAAAACAAATGCGCAACTCTGGCTCCCGTAACTCTAGCGGTACTGGGACGGAGATCCCGTGGTTTTGTTTACGATGGCCGGCAGTGGTCTGTGGTGGTGTGCGAGGTCCGGCATGACGGCGATTCATATCTGATTTTACAAAGGGCTTGTGCATTCGAGGGTGCGAGGATTGCGACGGACGGGACGACATTCATTTGCGACCGTAACAGGAAAAGTCGACGTGTGAAGTATTCCCAGTGCTTTCACGAGACCGTTCATCTTACGGCGGTGTATCCGTTAAACCTAACCGACGAAGAAACAGCTCGCAGAGCTCGCCGCTGTTTTATTGAGCTTTGTGGTCGCTTCAAGAAATTTTCAAGTTTGGGAAAAGTGCGTGCAAAGGTTTGTGCTGCAAAATAAAGGGAGAGCAGAATACAATGCACTGTGATTCGTGTCACATGGCGATATGTGCTATATCCTGCTTGCACGATATTCCGCCGTAAAAAAATGCGGTTTATTAACCATTTTCTATTTGCCGGTTCTGCCGTACGCATGACCACTATCGCAGCGTGTTCAGTGTCGATGAGTTGACAACTCTTTCCAAACATTGGCTTTCGTTCCGTTCTGCTAAAGTCAATTCGCATACTCCTATTTTCTTTTTCTTTTTACATGTTGATGCGTAGAACAATTTACGTCATAACAGTTATTTCAACACGTTGCGAGGGTAAATTTTGCTCAATTGTGCACCGTACACTGTAATATATATATATATATATATATAAATTTTTTTATTGCATTACAAATGTTAAGAAGTTTTACTTCCGTGACTGGCCTGAGAACGTCTGAGCGCTCTGAACCGAGCAGTTGAAATGGGCTGAAAAGGATTCCGAGTAGCTCTGGCAGGGAGGAGGAGGCGCTCTGCTGAAGCAAGGTTCTGAGAGGCGACCACCCGAATTCACCTTAAGTCTAAACAGGTCCCGGTGGCGGCTGGAGGCCCACGTTTCAACGGGGGCTCTCACGAAGATGAATGGGTGCAATGCAAGCGAGCGCTGACTTTATCTTCATGCAGTGCTGAGATGCACTACTTCGTCAACGGGGCAATCGAAATCGAAACCATGCCACTCCTCTCCATGGTCAAATAAGTCCCGTAATGCAACGCGCGCAGTGTTGCATGAAGAGATTCTTGGAAGCAGTCTATTAACCTCGTTATTCGTCTTTCTTTTAGACACGGAAACGCGAAACACGTTTCCGTGTTTCCTGGCGTCGGCGTCGGCGTAACCGCGCTAAATTTAGCGGGAAAATTGACGTCACGAGACCTCAACACCAATTCCATTCCCCGCTAAATTTAGCGGGGAATAGAATTGGTGTTGAGGTAACGTGACGTCAATTTTCCCGCTAAATGTAGCGGAGAAAACGAATTTGTTTATGGAGACGTCACACCAAGTCATGTGACGTCATTTTCCCCGCTAAATTTAGCGGGTAAACTGAATTGGAGGAGAGTGAGAAAGGAGAGGATGTACGAGGAGGAGGAAGAGGAGGGGAGGGTACGGAGGAGGAGGAAGGGCATACCCTCCCCTCCGTATCCTCCTCTCCTCCTCCTCAAGAGCTGCGCTCTAATTTCGCATTACCGAGATTTGTAAACATCTTTCTTTTTTCTCTCTCTCTCTCTCTTTTGTGCCGCAGGAGAACGCGTCCCCATCGTTCTGGTGGGCAACAAATCAGACCTGATTGCCAAGCGCCAGGTGTCTCAAGACATGGCCATGAAGCTGGCTCAGGAGAGCATGCACAACTGTCAGTACCTCGAGACAAGCGCCAAGTACAACGTGAACGTGAGCGAGCTCTTCAGCGAGCTCCTGCAGCAAGCCTACTCCATGGAACAGCAACAGCAAACGTCATCAGGAGGATTACTTCCGGGTCCCGGGGGTTCTTCGTCACTCCTGGGAGGTCCAGGGGACCCCGGTCGGCCACCGGACTCTCCCCTGCAGAGGTCCTCGCGGAAGCTCTCTCATCGGCTAGGGTCCCTGGGCAGTCTGCCCAGCATGAGACGCAAGTCCAGCACGGCTTCGGCGTCGCCGGTGGTTACCGCGACGCCGCGGAGTCGTCAGCCGTCGCAGCAGGTCGACCCGGAACAAGACATCGCGGACCCCGACCAGAAGTGCCACATCTTATAAAGGACATTTGCACGTTGATATCATTGCGTACCGAAAGCTACACTTGTCGCCATTTGCTTCTTTGTGTAAACATTTTGCCCTGTAACCAGGAGACATGGCCGAAGGTTTCCATGCGACACTAATTTTACCGTTCACCTCTGGGTGTAGACGGCTTGCCCCTGTAATCAGGAAACATGACCTAATGTTTTCATATGACACTATGGAAACTTTTGTTTATGGTATTCAAGACCCTATTTTGTTGCATCACTTTTTCAATGTCCACAAAATTTGACGCTACAACTCAACCGTACCAATTGCGTGTTGCAAATACGCAACGTCATTTCGCCCTTGGTGAACATAGTAGCCGGATACCGTGAAGACTTTTTCGGCCAGCTGAGTCTATCGAGCGTTGCGACTGAAACATATCCCTGCACTTTTTAGGAGTTCACATCCGTGTGAGTACTCGGATATTGCCTTAGTTTTTACGGTGTAGGCACCACTCGGCCTTCTCGGTAGTGCGTCTTGTTCTTCGGTTTTAGAAACGGTACGTTTTGCGGCCTAACAAATGTTTTCTACATCGCCGTAATTATGAGTGCCATGTGGCACCAATATTTAAAAAAAAAAACGTTTAACTTTTTTTTTTTTAGTAGGGCATTTTAGTAACAATATGGTTAGATGTGAGTGAAAACAGACACAGCGCGGAACGACGGGTCAGGCAGTGCCAGTGACTGTGAGAACGCAAGACCCACCAGGACTTAGAAATGCCTCATTTCACTGTCGCTACCAAAAGCGTCTAGTTCTTTCACTTGAATACCTTTTAGCCATGTCCCCCATCTGCTTTTGGCTGCGAGCTCGACATAATTTTTATGCTATATGCTAAATTCCTCTTCATAAGCCAAACATTCACCAAACTTGAAGGTTACCTGTTAAAATATGAACCGTAAAACACGCCTGCCAAGTCCAACTACGGTATTTCGCAGCAACATCAGCGCCCCCTTGTACAAATTTCGGGTGGGGTTTGGCACTGGTTAAACAAAAAACGGGCTGCTAGAGCATTAAGGCCCGTTCCGACAGAACCGTTTGTTTACGCTGCGCTATGGAGTTTTAGCGAACCGTTTCTGCTCACCCGATATGGTACGATGGGCCCTCCGATTCGAATTGCGCATATGCTAGTCTTCTGTGCTAGCGCATGCGCAGTTCGTACTGGAGGGCTCATCGTATCGGATATGCCCAGAAGCGGTTCCCGAAAACTCCCTTATGTTACGGGAGCTCACGGTCTGCTCACGTCGAGAATCAACGGGACATCCGTGCTTCCTATGAAGCGTGGGAACCAATTAAAGCACACGACATTCGAAGCGCGGGTGTCGTACGGACTTATGACGTAACGTAAGGAGACGTAAGCAAACGTCCGTGTGTGGATGGGCCTTTACAGTGGATGGTGTATTAGCACCTTTCAACCGCGCAAGAAATGACCATTTGCTCCCGCAAGTTGACCGCTTTGCGCGGACACCCTTGTTGCGGAGAAGCCCAGCGAGTCCAAGCATTTGCTGAGTCTCCGTTTCGTTTCGGAGTGCAGTCGTCCGTGGCGCTATCTTGAATTTTACATTAACGTTGATAGCTCTAAACTGCTCCCAAAAGGGGCCTTAACTTTAAAGTGAGCCATTTACATTCCGTTTACACAGGAGCGTTTAGCGAGTGTTTTCCTAATTAATTCGTCGATCGTCGGTTCGGCGAGTTGAAAGGACGGTCTTTAAGCGGGTGCGGGCGCGCCTTCGTCTTAATGGCTTTGAGTTGTGTCTTATCGTTGCGTCCTGGTGGATTTCGTCTCCTTCAACCGTGTGCAGTGGACGTTGTCGTCGGTGTTCACATCGTTCTTGTAGACGTTGTAGGCGTGTGCGCGTGCTCAAGTGGTTTCCCAAGACGGACCAAGTGCTCAGGCGCGTACGAGGCAGTTCACGTTAGCACGAGACATCCAGCAGGCAGCAAGAAGAAAGGCCAGCATTTGACCCAAGCGTTGGATACCTAAATTCCTAATGTATACCATGAGATTCTATAAAGACGTTACGGCGCGCGAGAACTGGCGCGAAACATGGAAACTGAATTGCGAGGAGCAAAAGCATGCAGGCGAGCTGGTTTAGGAAATTTCATAATCCAAAAACTAAGAGAATGGGAAATGAAATAACGGATTTTATTTCTCTTTGTTTACCTATTATATTCTGACAAAAAAATTAAAACATCCCCTAAAAATGCAAGAGGGGAGGAGCCGATTTCGACGCTGACGCCACAGCCGAAATTAAAGCAGGTCACTTTTCATAGGGCTAACGTGGCATATTCTTTATTTCTATATTGCACCAACACAAAATCAAAAATCAGAGCTTTCAACTTTACTAATGTGTCACTCTAAACGCCTTAGTCGCGCCATAAAATGCTCCTGGTCATTTTCGTACTTTTTTCTTCTTTGTTCTTTCTAGCTAATGTCAACCAAAGTACGATGATCTCAGTAAACACTGGAAGGGGAAAAAAATCCAGTGACGTAAACTTGCTACTGCGGGAAACGTCCACCCTGTCCTTTCATCGTATAAGCAAACGATTTCGACACCGCGCAAGCTGACACCAATCCCTAAAAATACCGCCGTTCTGGCCGAAAAATGATCGCTCTTGTACATTCGAGGCGGGTGGATTTCTGGATTGCAACGACACTATAGACCGCCGCGTAAAGCTAGAGGTACTTCGCCGAACCGCGCTGTGAAGTCAGCTGACCTTAGAGAATGAGGTTTATTTTCAATGATCTCCACATGTTGTTTCTCTTCCTGTGTCCAAAGTATCCGCCATTGTCAGCGTGGCCCAGCGTTATTAGGGAGTTTTCGTAGATTGTTTCCACCGCCCCGCAACGCTCTCGCAGCCCGCTACGATACCCGAAACTCTACAGTCAAGGCTATCGGCGCGCATGCGCAGCAGCGGCTTCTTCGTTGCGGAGGGCTTAGCGGAGGGGAAAACGCGGTCTACGAAAACTTCCTATTATATCAACTGAGACGTGGAGCTCCCGCCGGACGGGGGTACCCCTTTTTTTTCTCAGACCCGCCACCTGTCGTTTGAAGCGCAGTCTAGAGGCTACATTTCAAAACTATAGACTTCGTAGACGCAACGGTGAAGCGTCATCTAGACGTCGTTGCCCGTGTAACTGTAGTTACCATATCAGCCGTCCCCCAAGAAAACGGTGGTGCGTCGAACGAAGGGAGCCGGACCTTGAGGGCAGAGGGGGTCATGCTCATGGAAGCGAGGGGCAGTTCCGTAGCTGAGTTGATCTAATAACGTTGGCTTGGCCTTTCACACGCCAGTTTGCTACGTGCCGCAGTACGGACCACGGTTACTCAATCAACTGAGTTGTAGAACTGTCTACGTACGCCCCAAATATTCGCCTTCCTGGCCTTCCGTCGTTCGAAGCGCCACGATTTTGGAGACGGCTGTTACAGTAACTACACAGAATTACACAGGTTTTGAAGTACAGTGTCTATGGCGCTTCACCGTGGCCGCTCCATAGAATACAGATATGAAGCACGTCTTCTAGATGGCGCTTCAAACGACAGGTGACGGTCATGGGAGGGAGAGGAGGGGTTCGCGTCTCCGCGGGAGTCCCACAGCTCAGTTCATCCCTAGTGGGTGACGGTTATGTGTGTAGCACAAGCTTCTCCCACAAAGCCCTCCACCCTTCTCCCAGTAACAAAGCGAACGCTGGAGAGCGTTCACCTTGTTTAAAGCGGAATGAGAGGAGGGCTTTGTGGTAGCGGCTTGTCCTGCACTCTTAACCTACAACAAACTATAACAACCTTGGTACGGACTGACATGTCTCCATAAAAGTTCATTGCACAGCAAGACACTGATAGGCCTGGTGCACTTAACGTGATGAACAAAGGCGTCACGAAAAGAGTAACAGGGCTCCTGTACATACTGCCTAGACGTACGTCAGACGTACATATATGTAAGCCGCAATCGGCAAGCACCTCGACTTTCTTGTACGTAGTTTCTATCGATGAACTGAATGTATACCGTATACGTCAATGTGATGCAAAGTATGTCTCTCCTCTCAAACCACATCACGTAGATATGCTTCATTCACACCGAACGGGTGTGCGCCTCTCTCTCCATCTCTCTCTCTCTCTCTTTATCCCAGAAAAGCATTTTTGAAGTCCCCGTGGAACCTTATTGTTCTCTACTTGCTCCAGCCTTACATCCATCCCACAAAAGAAACAGAAGTGCGCACAGAACCACATAGTTTATACTTCTATGATTTAGAAGCTTCTCCAATTGCGCTGGCACGGGTTATACTCGAAATACTATTCGACCTGCGAGAGCTGTCCGTCTATCACAATCGCGGCTGTTTTCTACACACTGTATTAGACACCAACACTTTTTTCCTTCTTTTTTGCCACATTGTCAAGGTTAGCGTAGTTTGCGCAGTGCTCCATTGCTGTTAAGGTTACCTGCGCGAGCGCGTGGCTTCGTTTTGGACTCTCCTGCTATCGCAGCAGCGCAGGGCCGCAGCACTGTGAAAACTTGGCAACTGGTTCTGATGGACAGTGGGTATACCTGGTAGACCTCAATGCTGGCTGAATCGTGGCAGGCAGCATTGGGGTCTCCCCCGTCTGCTTCGTTTGCAGGGGTTCTGGTGACGTCAGAACGCCGAGCTCCGATTGGTTCCGATTGAAGGATGGTGGGTAGACCTCGAGGGCAGTTTGCTTTGACGTCTACCCACTATCCTTCAATCAGAGCCAATCGGAGCTCGGCATCATCCTGACGTCACCGCAACTCCTGCGCGAGAAGCAGGCGACTTGCTCTCCGCATAGGATCGGGAGATCTTAAAACTTGAAAATAATAGGGCGTGTTTTAGTTACCTCTCGCTCGCAAGCTTGCCCCTTTGACTTAAATCCGGTTTCGTAGGGCCTAGCAGCGCCAAATAAACGAATGACCAGCATCGCTCAACGGTACAGAGCGCGACACTGTTAGAGCGAACAAGCGATCGCCGGTTTTTCCAGTTTTTTCTCTTTGGCACTAAGGGATGTCATCCAAGTTAACATTTCTACGGAAAGAGCTCATTTAGTTCTATGATGCAAGCGATAAATTTTCGTGCTCGCTAATATTATTGAGAAGTAAAATGCGAAAATGCGCCGATGTCATG